CAAAGGAATATAAGTTGGTTTAGAAGTTTGCATGTTTAAGATAGGACGCAATTAGGAGTTTCCAGGACCCTCCTGAATAATGGGACTTAGCTTAAGATTTCGATTAGATAACAACATCTAGTGTAAACTCCACTGTAGGGTAGTATAATTCAGACATGAAAGTTGTAACCCTTAAGATAAAATTTGACCTTTGATTTTTAGAACCCTCCTGGATAATGGGGAGTAGTTTAAAGGTTCTCTTAGATAGCAAGATTTAGCAGAAGTCACACCTGTAGAAGATATGACTTAGATTTAAAATTGTCATTTAGTTAAGAGTTGTCAGGACCCCATGCATAATGGGACCTAGCTTTCAAATTTTCAGTGATATTTGGTAATATGATTCAGTTTAACACTCACATATGTTCCTAGTTACCAAACTGGGGCAGAAAAGTTTCTTTGTTTTTGTCTATTTTGTTGAAATCAGGTACCCGCTTGGAGAACAGGGAGAAGACATTCAAGTTCAGCAGTCAGGAGCCCGCCTGGAGAGCAGGGAATACTTTCAAATGTAGCAGTCAGGAGCCCACCTGGAGAACAAGGGAGTACCATTCAAGTTTAGCTTTCAAATTCTTTGCTTTGTTTATTTTGAAGTCAGGAGCTCGCCTGGAGAGTAGGGAGTACATTTCAAGACGAGGTCAGGAGCCCGCCTGGAGAGCAGGGAATACTTTCAAATGGAGCATTCAGGAGCCCGCCTGTAGAACAAGGGAGTACCATTTAAGTTTCAGCTTTCAAATTCTTCGCTTTGTTTATTTTGAAGTCAGGTGCCCGCCTGAAGAGCATGGAATACATTTCAAGTTAGCAGTAAGGAGCCCGCCTGGGTAGCGTGGGAATACATTCACATTTTGAAGTCAGGAGCCCGCCTAGATAGCATGGGAATACATATCAAGTTCAGCAGTCAAGCACCCACCTGAAGAAGGGGAAAACATCTCAGTTTACAATTCACGGTGGCAACAAATGGATGTCTCCGAAAGAATGGAGAACAACAAGGCAACAAGAAGCACAAGATCAAGTTTGAAGATATAGAAAGCACTTTTATAATCCATAGATCATAGTCTAGTCTAGCTTCTTGTTTTATTTTGACATGGTGTAATAAGGAGGTTCAGCAAGCAGTAGCAGCAGCAGCGGCCGTGAAATCCCAGCTTCATGGTAGTCCCAGCTACCAGACATTCCTGAACTACACTGACCTGATTCCTTTTCAGCCAAGGATATGTAGGCAACCTCAAAAGTAGGGTGCGGTCAAATCTTTCAAAAATGCTTCCTAGGGAGTATTCAAACTGGCAAAAATCGCTAGTATCCGCTCACTTTACCTTTGCACGAAAACTCTTCGTGTTTCCGAGCAAAGAGGGACAGCTGTGAGCACGTGATTTTTGCCCTATATGTATTACTCCAACAAATTCAAAAAAAATAATTTTTGTTAGTATTTGCAATTTTGGGGATTTTTGTGGCATTTTCTGGTAATTGTTTGCATTTGTCTGTGCATTTTTATTTTATTTAATTAAATGAAAATTGCAAAAAATATGTTGCATTTGCATTTAGGATTTAATTTTACATTTTAGGATTAATTGACAAATTAGTTATTTTATAAAAATGGGAAGAATCATAAAAATAGTTTATTTTGCACTTTTAATTTTGAATTTTGGTATTTTTTTCCTTTAATTTGGTTTTTAATTATTTGTAGTAACAATTATTTGGTTTAATTATGTTAATATGGCAGGATAATTTGGTTTAGGGTTTAATTAAGGTTTTAATTCCAATTTTGGAAAAAGAAAAAGAATTTTTAAAAGAAAAATGAAAAGGAAAAAAAAAAGAAGAAGGAAATAATGAAAAGGAAAATCTGGGCTAAAACCCATTTATTTGTCCCCAGCCCAAACGAATCGCCCCAATACCCGGCCCAAACCCACCTCTACCCAATCCATCCCCCAACTAAGTGAAAAGACGTTGTTTCATGGGCATCGGATCAGGACCATCGAGGTTTTTTGATCGGACGGTCCTGAAGCCCAGGTCCCTTAGTATTTAATTGTCCAAAAGCCCTGTTCCCCCCGATATCGTCTCTCAATCCCTCACCTCTCAGAGAACCCAAGCTTAACCCTAACGGAGCCGCCCCAATTTCCACCACCGTCCACCGGCGACGCCACCCCCTACCACTCCCAAAATAACACCGCATGACCATCAAGAGCCCCTCATTCCAAATACCCACTCCGTTTGCCTCGAATAAACCCAGAACTTCTCGAATCTTGATCTGAAGAGAAGAACCCTAAAATCCCAAAGTCTAAATCAACGGGCGTGTTGAATATTGTAGACTATAATGGATTTTATTCGCGTATTTTCACATGAAAACACACGATTAAGGCTATTCCGGTCCGGAATTTGAAAAGCCCTTCAAAGTTTGTCGAATCGGCTCCTGGCTAGTGTTAGGTATCTTCTTTGTTCATTTTATTTATTTATTTATCTTTTCTTTTGTGTTCCTGCTTCGTATCCTCTTTTGGGTTTTGTTTAGTTGTTCCGGAGTTTTGTTATTCATGCATGATTAGTTTGGGATCCTTTCTTAATTAGTTAATCGTCTAGCAGTTCAGTTAATTCCCTCTATTTGTGTCAGTTAGTAGTAATTTAGTTTAGGGTCTTAGTTTTGAAAATTGTTCCAGTACTTGGATGGTTCTGTCTCTCAGAAGCTCATAGAATTTAAGGATGTTAATGTACGAATTAGGCTTTAGTCTGTTGTTGACCTATCTCGCAAATGTAGCCCGTTTAATTTGGTCTATATCCTTGGGTCAATTTGACCCGTTTGGATTTCTGAAGTAATTTTCAAAGGGTTAAGGGGTTAATTAGGTAATTGGTTTAGGGAATCTAGGGTGGAGGGGAATACTTTGAAAAAACAGAATTTAAACTAGGGGTGTTTAAGCTAAAATGAAAATTAAAAAGGGACCAAAGGGCAAAAATGAACTCTTAATGCCTGCCCTAATGCCTTGCCTATAAAGGCATCTCTATCTTGCCTTTCAAGGAAGGGATTCAAGAGCTAAAATACAGACCCAAGAAACTAGGAAGGGCCAAAAATTTCTGAAAATTCTAGACGAAAAAATTCAGAAAAGGTATTGTTCCATTGAGTTCTTTGGCTAATTTCTGAAGTTTTCCTTATGATACAACAAATCCTGACTAGTCGACCTTAGAAATGGATTAAAATTAGCTTGGGTTGAAGTTTTCCTAGTCCATTGTTTGGATCGAATTGGTTTCTGGTTGTTTATTTCAACTTCTAGGTTTGAAATTCGATTTTTGGAGCTGATGGTCGATTCAGTTGATCTGCTTTGCTGCTGACCCTTGCTTTTGCTATTGCGTTGCTGATCTTCTTACCCTCTCTTATTTGTGATCTCAGGTACTTATTTAACTCTTTTCAATGTAAAAACCTTGTGATATGGAAATCTGGAAGACTTGAAAGATGTTGGCCATTTGTTCTTATTGTAGGAGCTTAATTTTGTCTTTATTTGGAAACTTTAGTTTGTATATATTCATGTTTGTGTGTTGGTCAGTGACAATGCTCCTTGAGGGTGAGTCTGATTTGAAATAGACATGAGGTTCAATTTTGGTCGAATGCTTGGTAACTTGAAAACCAATGATGTATAAATAGACTTTATCATGACATTTAGTTTTGAATCTGCCTGAAAGCTTAAACATCATGTCCATTTATTTGAATCAACAATGAAGTTCTGCATATAACTTTAAGCAGCAACCCGCTTAATTAGATGATTGAATGACTAAAATCAGTAGATATGGTAGCCTCTGTACAAGAGAAATATGATTAATTGTGCTGTTATGAGACTGAAGTTGTTAAATTCCATCGCCTATTGTTAGTAATTGGAATTGGAGCTCACGAGTGCTTCCATGATCGAATCATTATTGGGTGTTATCTAACTGGTTAATGATGAGTTAAAACGACTCCCAAGCTTGCTTGTACAGGTACCAGTCCCTTCCTTGGCTCATGTTGAATTCACTGACAGCCTCAAACGGGGTAGGGATTCGATGATTGGTTCTTGACTCAACAGCTGCAAGGCTCAAAATTTGGGCTCACTTTGAGGCCCAGTTCGGAAAGTGTTTTCTTGTATCAAATTGGGTTGGCCCAAACCCTTTATGTAATGAATTAAATTTCCCTCACATAAGCCTTCCTAGTTAGTTTGAATGGAACCTTTAACTACATTTAGTGTTAATTAATTAAGCCCATCAAATAGATTGGAGGTGAGTCATAATTACATAACTCATAACTCATGGCCCTTCAAGCTATGGTTTGAATATCCTCTTAAATATGGAATCGAGACGCGCTGCACCAAGTAAAATGACAAATCGCGTGGCCCTCTTTAATTATGTCTTTAAAATTATTTAGAATTCGAGGCGTGCCATTTAGTAAATTTCCATGGCCCTTGCAAAGTTAAAAATGCATAGTTGCTTTAGGTGCGATATTTTAATAAAGTCACTTTCCTAAATTCAGGTGCGCATTTATGTGACCCAAATCCAAATCTCAACGATGTTAAAGTATGTCAAGGACCACAGGTGCATTTATGTGACGTGTTTCGAGACGTGTTTTAATAACGTTGCAATCTTCTTTAAATAATTAAATGAAGCGGTTAAAGACTCAGAATTTGCACATAGGTTTAAAACTTGTTTAAAATCAAATAATTAAGCTGAATATAACAGTTGAGCGACCGTGCTAGAACCACGGAACTCGGGAATGCCTAACACCTTCTCCCGGTTTAACAGAATTCCTTACCTGGATTTCTGATTCGCGGATTGTTAGACAGAGTCAAGTTTTTCCTCGATTCGGGATTCAACCGGTGACTTGGGACACCATAAATCTCCCAAGTGGTGACTCTGAATCTTTAAACAAATAAATCCTGTTTTGATTGTCCTTTAATTGGAAAAACTCCCTCTATACTCCTCTTCTGGGGGTGTAGTGAAAAAGGAGGTGTGACACTGTGAAAATGGGATATCATCATACTCGTATGCAAGAGCTATGCAAAGAAGTCGATAATCTTAAGGGTTCGATGGATGCGGTCACGACTTCTGTTTCGGAATTGAGAAGTTCTATGGATCATAAGGTGGCTCAAGCCATGGAGGAAATCAGGAAATTGTTGGCGAACGATTTGACTAATCATCAGGAAGGTCCAGTTGAGAATGAAGGTCGAGAAATGGTGGTTCCTCGACCTAGAGGTTATCAATTGCCAACTCGCAATTATCATATGGAGTTTCCAGCTTTTGATGATCTAAGGTTGAAGGAGTGATTGTATAAATGTGAACGGTTCTTTGCTGTAGATGGCACTCATGAAGATTCTAAGGTGAAACTGGCTTCGTGCAAACTGGAAAGGAAGGCACTACAATGGCACCAATCCTACTTGAAGCATCGAGTGGCTAGAGACTGGCCTCGCTGGAGTGAGTATGTAGCTTGTCTGTATGCCAGATTTGGATCTGAACTATTTGATGATCCCATGGGCGACTTTAAGGATTTGAAGCAGGTAAGCTCGGTACAAGACTATGTTGGCCTGTTTGATGAATTGCTCACTAGAGTAGAATTATCGGAGGAGTATGTTGTTAGTTGTTTCGTTAGGGGATTGAAACCAGAAATTGGGTTGCCTGTTAAAATGTTGGCACCTAGAAATTTAGCTTAGGCAATTAGTCTAGCTAAAATTCAGGAACAAACCTTGATAGTGCAGAAGCAAGTTTTCATGGCCACCCCAACCCCATCTTATTCAACCAAACACACCCCAAAATTCCTTTCTAACTCTCAGTTTCCTCAACATTCTGCCCCAATGCCCTCCAAATTTAGACAACCTTCGTGTAGACCTCCCAATATCCATACCACATCCATAAAACCTACCTACAGAAATGCCAAGAAATTGACTCCTGCTGAAATGGAGGAAAGAAGAAGTAAAGGACTATGTTACAATTGTGATGAGAAGTATAGCTTTGGGCATGTATATAAGAACAGAGTTCAGTTGTTTTCTATGGAGGTGGAGGAGGGAATAGAAGAAGTAGAGCTGGAAGAAGAAGTGATGTTAGATCCAGCAGATCTGTTAACAATGATAGGCCAGGGGTTGGAGACTGATGTTGAGGGGTCCATTCTACCTCATGTATCAGTCCATGCCATGAATGGACTGCATGACTTTAGAACTATGAGGGTAACTGTATCAGTCAAAGTCATGGCTGTACAGGTTCTAATTGATACTGGGAGCACTCACAATTTCTTGGATCTTAACACTGCCAAGAAGTTAGGATGTGTCTTGACAGCTATATCTCTTTTTGATGTATCTGTTGCTGATGGAAAAAAGGTGCAAAGCAACTATATCTATAAAAAGTTGGTTTGGAAAATGCAAGGTGTCTCTTTTGATTCTGATATGTTAGTGCTGCCAATAGGAGGTTGTAGTATGGTTTTGGAAATTCAGTGGTTAATCACATTGGGTGACATTATGTGGAATTTCAAGAAACATAGAATGAAGTTCAGTATCATGGGACATAAAGTGTCATTGAGGGGAATTCAACCTCCTGCAACTAAGATGATTCAACAGGCCAGCATGGACAAGCTACTAGCCAAACCTGCAGAATTGTGCATGATATTTGTGGGGTTATTTCTTGAGAGCCAACAGCAAGGGGTGGAAGCCAACCTTTTTACATTGGAAGGCTTGCCAAAGGAACCAAGCATGGACTGGGATCTGCAAGATATATTGCAGAGGTACAGTGATTTGTTTGAGGAGCCAACACAACTCCCTCCCTCTAGATTACCTGACCACAAGATTACCTTAAAAGAAGGTGTCTCCCCCATCAACATCAGGCTTTACAAATATCCTAATGTTCAGAAAAATGAGATTGAAAAGATGGTGAATGAAATGCTAGCTTCTGGTGTTATCAGGCACAGTACCAACCCTACTCATCTCCTATTGTGATGGTAAAGAAGAAGGATGGATCACGGCAATTGTGTGTGGATTACAGGGAGTTAAACAGTTGCACAGTAAAAGACAAGTTCCCTATTCCTGTGATCGAAGAATTGTTGGATGAACTTCATAGTGCCAAATACTTCTCTAAGCTGGATTTAAGGTCAGGTTATCATCAAATTAGGATGTTTGAGTCAGACATTCCTAAGACTACATTTAGAACTCATCATGGCCATTATGAATTTATGGTTATGCCTTTTGGTTTAACAAATGCCCCTTCTAATTTTCAAAGCCTAATGAACCAGATCTTTCATAACTATCTCAGAAGATTCATCTTAGTTTTTTTATGACATCTTGATATATAGTCAAAGTTGGGATGACTATTTGTTGCATTTAGAGGAAGCTTTCAAGGTCCTTAGATCCCATACATTGTACATAAAACAAAGTAAATATGCTTTTGGGGTCGCACATATTAACTACTTAAGCCACATCATTTTTGAGCAAGGTGTAGCTATGGATCAACAAAAGGTTCAGGGTGTGTTGGATTGGCTACTACCTGTCACCCTCCTTTTTACCTGCGCCCGCAGGGCGTAAAGGAGTTTTTCCATTTAAAGGACAATCAAAACAGGATTGGTTTATTTAATTCAGAGTCGCCACTTGGGAGATTTATGGTGTCCCAAGTCACCAGTTGAATCCCGAATCGAGGAAAAGAAATGACTCTGTATTACAGTCCGCGAACCAGAAATCCGAATAAGGAATTTTGTTAACCCGGGAGAAGGTGTTAGGCATTTCTGAGTTCCGTGGTTTTAGCACGGTCGCTTAACTGTCATATTCGGCCTATTTGTCTGATTTTAAACACTTTAAACCTATGTGCAAATTTTGACTTTAACCGCTTTTATTTATTTTTAAGAAGATTGCAACGTTATTAAAACACGTCTCGAACCACGTCACACAAATGCACCCGTGGTCTTCGACATATTTTAACATTGTTGAGATTTTGGATTTGGGTCACATAAATGCGCACCCGAGTTTAGGAAGGTAATCTTATTAAAAGACGCGCCTAAAGCAACTAATGCATTGTTAACTTTGTGGGATGCCATGAAAATTCGCTGAAGGGCACGTCCCAATTTCTAAGGATTAAAATTAATTAAGTGAGAACCATGCGTTTTGAGATTTTATTTGGCATGGCACTCCTCAAATTATTTCAAAGGATTTTATTCAACTAAAGCAAACTACAGTGTTTATAAGTTAATATATATATATATATATA